AATACCTATTGTTTCAAATCTTGGCTATTGGTTCAGATGCACAACTTTGAATGCAAACACTTTTCTAGTGTAGTTTTATCATCTTCCAAAATCTGCAATATTCTCAGGTCCCATATTGTAACATATTCACCTCAAGGGAATGTGTTCTTAAAACAGAATGAAAGGTTCTTTGTCTCAAGATCATTCTTATCCCAACTATGAATATCTATGTCATCAGCTCCCCACCCCATAATTTGTCTCTGGCAGGGCAGGAAAAACAGGGATGCTGTTCTTCAATTGTTTTTTTTTTTTTTTTTTTTTTCTTTTACAGCCTAATTTTTTTTTGATCTTTTTTGCCTTGTTTCAAATAAAATAGTGTAATTTGAAATATTCTATCTTTTTCTTTCATGCAGGAAAATGTTTATTTTGAATTCTATCAAAACTATCCTATTTGATGCTCGGAAATAAAATTTAAGCCTTTACTTCAATATTGTAAAATATTAGAATTTACTGGAAGAAATCTACTCTTAAAATACATTAGTAAGATTATCTTCCAGCTTTTTATGTGATATACAAAAAGAATTATTATTACGAGTATAATAATCATTTTCAAAAAAATGTAAGTATGCTGGCGAATAATATATCTTATGAAATAAATATAAATTCTAAAATAAGACTTTTGTTGTGGAAAGATTCCTTGGTTCACTGTTTGAATACAAAAATGAGAGAAAAGAGTGTTGTGTGTTCAAAGAAATGATATTTATTTAAAGTAGGATGCACAAATTTTAACTGTAATTACTTATCATGAAATGAAAGTTAGAAATTTCTTCTCTTTGACTGTAAGGAAATGAATATGAATATTCTTTCAGTGAGGAAAAGAGAAAGTGGAGTTGTGAGACTAGATCAAAGGGAGTTCACTGTTGCTTGGATAAGAAAAAGACACTGAGGTTGAATTGTGTTTCTTCTCTGCTGTCAGTCCTTCTGCTTAGTTGAATGAATGTTTGGTTTTTATGATCTTGTGTAGGCTCCAGAATCCTTTGTTTGTTTACTGGTGGGGTGGAGGGGAGGTCATTTTATTGGCTACTTATTTTTATTAAACTGAAAATTTGAAGTATGTTTGAAACTCAAAAGGCTGCATGGAGCTCTTGCACAGTGTGTTTAATTTTGTTCTTTGCTCCTTTGATTTGATGTTGTTCACTTCCAACTATTCTACGCTTGAAATAAAGGCTTTAATTTTATTTCACTGTATCAAATAAGAAAGTTTTTGAACCAATTCAAAAGAAAAAACATCTTTCTACAATTTTTGAAGGAAAGAATTGTGAGTATTTTAACTGTTAAAATAATTTAACTGGAAGAAAATCTTTAGTATGCGTATATATAACTGCTGTAACCTAGAAAAAGTTGCTGAATGAGGAATAATCAAAATGGAGGTTGGAAATGGAATGGTAATCTTTATAACATCAACAATATACAATACTCGCCAGCAGTGTGAAGTAGGTAAACCACTGCTAGTGGTGGACGATATTCAGTCCCCCCCCCCCACGAGGGTGTCATGTGGCACAAGGCCTTTTTAACGTGGGCATTCTCGAGCCATTAGGCTCGGCCAAAAATAGCCCATTTGAACCCGTGATAAACGGGTTCAGGGCGATTTACCTCTCCCGGAGACTCTCCGCCTTGGGCGTAGCCTCCTTCGGGTTCCTCCCGCCCGTAGGAAGAGAGTTTAACCGAACAGTCGGTTCAGAGTTGAACGACTGACTAGTGGTGGACTGCTTCGACAATATACAGGGTGTTTCAAAAAATTTGATATCATTTCGCAATCTAATAACTTTGTTAGATCTCCTTCAAATGACTTCAAATTTTAATAGCATCTTTATGTTTAATGTTTGTTTTATGTTTTTATGTCTTTATGTTTTTGTGTTTTTCTTATTTTTATTTTTATGTTCTTTAATCTTTAATCTTTTTTCTTTACAGGTATAAAAATGCTATTTACTAGAAGAGAAAAGGCGTTTTGTGTGTTCACATAATCCACATGCTTTTGAATTTCTCATTCAGATTTGGAAGAATAAATCTTATGATCTTCAACATTAATACTTTTTAATTTCCTTTGCCTTAATCATGTACTTTCTGTGATATTTACATCTCAAAGGATATCAAATTTTTTGAAACACCCTGTATTACACCCGCTTACAATTGTGTCCAACATATTTATGAGGATTGGGACATACCCATTAGTGTTCATATGTATGATATATAACAATAACATTTAGTGAAAAAACATCTTTCTGCTATTTTGTCTTTTAAGACAGATGTAATTTCTATAAGTAACATATTTTACGGTATATTCAGTCACATAGCCAAAAAATACTTAGCACAACTAATCTTTGAAGTATGTGTGTATATTAGAATGTTCAGAAGGTAATAAATAGGTTAGCATATAAAAACAAATTGATGTTAAATTTATTTAAATATTATTTATGAAAAATATAATCACAACTAACAGGAAGGCAAAGTTTTGATTTCACATATGAATAAATATGTTTTTTTTTAAACTGAAAAGTGTTTGACAGCCCATTTTCAACTTCTTCTTTCTCAATGTTCTGAAACATATGAAAATCTGTAGGTGTTAAATCTGGTGTGTATTGAGGATGCGGAAGAACTTCCCATCCTAATGATCTTTTTCTTGGGGGGGGTGTATTTTGCAGAGTGTACTCCTGCATTGTCATACTGAAAGCTAACAATGTTTCTTTTTACCAAACTGGAACACTATTGACACAATGCTTCATTTACCTGATCTGCAATTATGACACTTCCATGTTTTGTAATTCCACCGGACACAAAGCAAGGATTTCTGTCAATAAATTTCTGATTTTGGTGCAAGCAATGCTTTCTTAATTTGGGATATCTACTGACATTTCTGTTTTCTATTGACCTGCAAAACCCATTTTTCATCACCTGTAACAATGCAATGCAAAAATTAAATGTGGGCATTCCTGGTTAAAAACTGTTGATGAAACGTTGTGTTCAGTTCTCAAGAGAATGCACATTCCTCTTTGCAAGTTTTCCTAATTACAGTCTGAAATGTGTTATAAATGATGCACTGTCAGATAAAAGTGATGATAAACTAATTCTTGACACACTTTTCTATCATTCCTCCTAGGTTCTGCCATGGTTGGTTGACTTAATTCATAGCATTGAAATACGTCATTAATTTAAAAAACACCCTAATATAAGAGATGATAAACTAATTCTCAAGACAGATTCCTGCCATTCAGCTTTGGTTCTGTCTTGGTTGGTAGCCTCTTAATTCATAGCAGTGAAATATATCACAACTTTCCTGACACTATGATATATTATTTTCAAACATGTTCTACAAGGTGCTACAAAAAATGTCATGGAAGTTGACCTTGAAAAAATTATTCTCATGCTTGGTTTCCATTTTATCCTTTGAAGTACTGTCTTTTTTATATCACTGTATATAAATGCAAAGAATACTGCTCAAGTCTATAGTACAGGTTGACACATGCTATTTAAATTCTCCAAACTTTTAGGTAGTCACCTTGTGATTGATTAGAAGTTCCCTGTGCTTTTTTTTGAAAACTGAATACACAGGTTAAAATCGACATTTCACTGCAAACTTTTGCTCACACCTAATTAAAGGTATGTATCTAAAATATCAGGTAAAAATAATCGTCTCTGAAATTACCCCACCTTGTCTGCCAAGGGACTTTGCTTAATGCTTGCATGATAGTATGAAAATAAAAAGTATAAAAAGAAAGGACAAAAACCCTCCTTCTCTCTTTTACTCTGTCAGTCACAGGATATGGTATGTACAAGATTTCAGGCAAACCAACTTCTCAATTTCATCCAAACCACAGTGTACATCACACATGCACACACACACACATATGCAACACATGTTTTTCTTTTCTTTTCTTTTTGAGCTATGTCTATCTTTACACATAAATATAAATTTCTCTTTCTTTATTGAACTATATATGTGTATAAATACACACACACGGTGTATCAAAAATACTTTTACAAACTTTGGGAACAGGTTCCTCACACCAAAACAAGGACAAAAGTCCATATAAACATATATCCACAAATCCTTTGTTTTTGAGTTAAGTTTACAGAAACTTTACGGTAGATGGCACTGTGTTGCCATGTAGACTAGGTTACATTTGTCATTCATGTACATTTGTGGCTAACCTGTCTTCAACGTTTAATGTGTAGTAGTGAGTTACCTAAGAAGTGTTCCATTTAACAATGGCAGGATATTCATATCAGTGAACTGGCAGATATGATTTTTACATACATTATAACAGTAATGGAAGCTAGGCTGCATGGCTGTATCAGATTGCATTTCCTGACTGAAGGCAGCCGAGTCATGAAACATTTGCTGCTGTTTTTAATTATGTTGCTGAGACAGAATCCATGGCACCACAAAATATGGTAATAAGTATTTTGGGATTGTATCTTGGATTGTAAATTTAACAGCGTCTATTGTAAAATTTAAACTCAAAAATGAAGGATTTGCAGGCATATGCTTATATTGACTTTTTTCCTTGTTTTGGTGTGCGGAACCTGCCCGCAAAGTCTGTAAAAGTATTTTTGATACACCCTGTGTATATATATATATAACTCCTTTCTGTTCTTTTGAAATCTATTGTTGGTGACAGGAACCCAGCCGCAAAGTCTGTAAAAGTATTTTTGGATTGTATCTTAGATTGTACATTTAACAGCATCTACTATAAACTTTAAACTTAATAACTCAAAAATGAAAGATTTGCAGACATATGTTGATATGGACTTTTGTCCTTGTTTTGGTGTAAGGAACCCACCTTCAAAGTCTGTAAAAGTATTTTTGATACACCCTGTATATCTATCTATGAATTGTAACAGCTGATATATATATATCTTAGATTTGTTTCAACACCAGCTGTTACAATTCATAACCTTTTTCCCATAACAAGTAGTAACCTCACCACTACACAACTTTTTTTTAAAATTTTAATTTGCAGATTGGTGTTGGCTTTAACCGAGGAATTTGGAACAAACTTGAAAAGTACGTTCGTTCCATTGCCAGGCGAAATAAAAATGTCTATGTCTGCACTGGGCCTCTTTACTTACCAAGGTAACTCACTGATTGTTAATTTTTCATAAACCTCTATCACTATCAAAAATATTCTATTATAATCAGACACAGGATTGTCCAATCAAAAGTTAGAAAGTATACTAGACTGTTGTAAAACTCATGGACACCCCCACCATTAAGAAGGAGTATACAGCATGTGTAAAATAGTGTGTTTTTTTATCTTCAATATTCAGAACTAGATGAGTTGAGATGGCAATTTTTATTGTTTCTCTTACACTAGAATCAAAAAGGTAGACCCAAGTTTAGTTTTAAATGGAGCCAGAAAGGTAGACAAAGGTTTAAATAGAAATTAAAAAGTAGACACAGATTTCATCTTAAATGGAGTTGAAAAGGTAGACACAGGTTTGGTTTTTGCTAGAGTTTAAAAGGTTTACGAGACTTTTTTACTAGATTTGTAAAGATAGAACAGTCCAGTTTTCAACAGAGTTTAAAAGGTAAACACAGATCTAGTTTTTAATATAGTGATAAAGGTGAAAACTTTTGTTTTTTATGCAAATATTGTTAATATAATATTCCTTCACAAAAAAATTAATCTCTGTCTCCAAAGTGTTAATAAGGTATAAAAAAAAAATCAATCAATCAATCAATGGTGCCTGGATAAATATTAGAGTAAACTAGAGAAGGAAAACTTTGAATTCCAAATTGTGGAAAAGGCAATTGAAAGCCACCTCACTATCCTTCAACTCACAGAAAACAAAGAAAAAAGGAACGTGTGGAGAACCATGATTGTGTACATCCTTAAGAGACAAGGTATTTTAAGAAGTGGAACTCTTTGGCATAATCCCTACCAATTACAATTTGGTATTATATATACATATACATATATATATATATATATATGAATTATTCACACAAAACTAATGCAAAGGTTAATGATTTAAATGGCGAGACATCCATCATCGCAAACAATTCAAATAGTATACAAAAACCTCCAAATCCGTTATGAATGAATTGATCCTTGTTTATATAAATTTCTGCTGTATTAGTTGTTATTTAATAACTCATTTTCAATAGCAATAATTTCAATAGCATTTTCGGATACAACAACACATATTTTCGTTGTCCTCTTATTACTAAGAGAAAAAAACAAGAACAACATCTATTCTATACCTGAAGATGTCTGTAGGAACAGACGAAAGCTTGTAGTAAAAATAACAACTAAATTAGAGCAGAAATTTATATAAACAAGGATCAATTCATTCATAACGGATTTGGAGGTTTTTGTATACTATTTGAATTGTTTGCGATGATGGATGTCTCGCCATTTAAATCATTAACCTTTGCATTAGTTTTGTGTGAATAATTCATGTATTTGTAAATTGATTGCACGTTTATCGTAATATATATATATATATATATATATATATATATATAATTCTTTTTATTTTTTAAAAATTTTTCTGCAGTATTGGTACTTAATTTTCTTAGTATTGTTACTATTTTATATTAAATTAGATCAAATGAGCACCCTTCCATTATATAGATTATTTATTAATCAATAGCTGGTAAGTAAAATTAATAATTCATACTTACCCTTTAAGACCAGTTATATTTGTTGCTAGATTTAATATCATGAGAAATATAAGTTTTTTTAAAAATATATCCGAATACATATAGAACTTAACTAAGCAAAAAACAAACTATATATATATATATTTTGGAAGAGAGATGTATGACAAAGTGGAAAAATTTTTCCTTACAACTTCATCAAACTACATCTTTTCTCCAAAACTGTTCTTGATATATAAAAAATGTATATATCATTATCAACCAAACACACACACACACATATATATATATATATATATATATATATATATATATATATATATATATATATATATATGGTATAGATTGGTGTATATGGAATAAATTCCAATAACCAACAATTACTATTCTTAAAAGAGTGCTCAATACATAGTAGATAGATATAATTATTTATTTAAAATTATAACATAAATATGTTATAACATATTTATGTTATAATTATTAAATAAATAATTATATATATATGAATGTAATGAGAATGAAAATAATATAAATTCTTATGTTCACAGAATTAATTCAAAAGAGGGCTCAATCTCAAGAGTAGAGCATTAATTATTTATTATAATTTTTACATACAGACAAAACCCAACATGTCCACTACAAAGATGCATTCTTGTTTCGATGCAACTTGTTTTTAGTTCTCACCAGTTGAGATGCAGTTGCATCAAAACAAGAATGCATCATTGTAACGGACAAGTTGTTTTTATCTGTATGTAAAAATTATCTTACTTATTATAAAACGCAGGTTGTGTGTGTGTGTGTGTGTGTGTGTGACGTTTATATGTTGGATCGAATTTCCTATATTTTTTAGCCGATTTCAACAAAACTTCACAAGACTACATAAAATTACCTTGTGGTGGTTCTAACGGGGCTGAAAATGGGAAAAACACAGTTGTTTTTTAAGAAAATCTTTTTGAAAACACGATTAAGACACATCGTGAGAATGAAAGGGGGACAACTCACCCATGAAAATGTAAACAAAAGAGTATGGCATGATGAAAAAGACGCCGAACTTGACGAAAACAAAATTTTATCGTCTAATGTTCATATTATTATTAAAGAGTATTTTGGGGGTATTTTTTTACATTTTTTAATCGTTCCTAGCACGTCTGAAATTTTCGTTAAAAATATTGTTTTTTTTTTGGTCAAAAAAAAAGATAGGATCATTTTCAATCATTCTTTTCGATTTAAAAGATTAAAATCTTACTTTGATATTCTTTTAAAAATCAATTATCATTTTTTCAAAACTGATTTTAATAAAAACAGAAATTATACTGTTTTATTTAAATTATTTTGAACCAAGCTTAACTTAACTTCAAGCAAAAAAAAAGGTAATTTGAAAATAAAACAAAGAGGTCATAACCTTTCGTGTCGCTGACGATTGGACGAAAAGGCACATTCATGATGTTTAGATAACTTACAGGAGGAGAATTCTTTCACGGATGGAAGGAAGTGAAATTATTTAAGTGAACAAATTATTTACCTTGTTATTTTAAGGAAAACTTTCAGCGCTCTAATTTTTTATTTTTAAAAAAATTTTTTTTTACTTAGCTTTCATTTTTACGTTTATGATGCTTTATGGAAAATAGAAAGAAATTAAAAAATAAGACTGTTAATAGTGAGATTAAATTTCATAAGAAAAAGGTATCTAATTAATTTAGGTACCTTTCTTATGAAATTTTATCAGAAGTGTACATAAAATACTATAATTTTATGTACATTTATTACATTTTACTGTGTTATTTGTATTTCCATTCATTTTATTATTAATTTTGATATTTCATTTATGGAAAAATATCATAACTGAGATTAATATAAAAATAAGATCATATAAATTAAAAGTTTAGCAGTAGTTAAATTTCATAAGATGATACTGTTACTTGTAGGTACCCTTCTCAGTTGAAATTGAAAACTCAAATTAACTTCTCCATAAGTGTTTCATAAAAAGTAAAGGGCTTAACAGCGAAAACAATGCTGAACTCAAATAATGCAACTAAATTGTATTCTGGTTGGTCTTCCGTACTTGATAATTACTGTCCGACTATAAACACAAAAATTACATTTCTTAATTACCATGGCTAATCTTATTGGTTCAAATTATACAATTTTCAAAGCGCTAGACAATCTCACACGGACATTTTGAAAGGTTGATGTTGCTTTTTAAGTTTTAACTAATGTTAAAATATTTTTAAAATTCAATTTAAACATTTTTAAAAAATCTTTAAAATTAAAGAAATAAGAAATAATTGTATTAAAAATTCAATTTTCATTGAAAAATTTTTGCTTTCAGAAAATATTGTCGATATTCATAAAAACAAATTAAAACAAATAAAAGCATTTGAAACTAAATAATATATTTGTTTTATTGAGTTTTGTATGTTACAATTCACAGCTGATTTTCAGGTCAGGTACAAAAAAAAAAAAAAAAACATGATTTGCATTCTTCAAAGCCTTGTGCTTTTAACTATTGTAATCACTAAAAAACCGATGGTCTCGAATTTCTAGAGTTTTTCATAAAATTAGTTATGAGGGTGATAATAAATATAAAAAAATATTTCTGCCATGACTTTAATAAAAAAAAAAAACATATTTATAATAATTTTGATCATCTGTGAATAGTTTCTGAAAGTTTCTTTTAACATCTGACAATTATTTTTATTTTTGCAAGATTTTCCAAATTAATGTGTGTAAATACAAAAAACGCGCCAAAATTATCTATGTTATTTACTACCCCTGTTATGACAAAGAGAAACAAGGTTTTTAAATCAAAATTTAGAATATTCTAAAAGATGGAAAAATTTTTTAAAAATAATTAAAAAGAATTGTCTTTTCCTCTTCATAAAAACATAAGCATTTTGACGATAAAATTTTGTTTTCATAAACTTTGCGCTTTTTCTTCAGACTATGCTCTATGTTTTAGCGATTCCGTGGAGTGACTTAGGTTAAAAACCCAGGTTGTTTGTGCGTGTTCCTTTATATATGGGATCGGATTTTCTTACATTTTTTCAGCCGATAAAACAAACATCCACTTTTTTTTCAGCAGGTGGTATTTCTTATTGTCTTGCACACTTTTTTCTTTATTTACATTCAGAATGCTTTAAAAATTCCATTTACAAGACAATTGTTTATAATAAAAGGGATGAATGATCTTTTTCCTCTTATCATTACTCAATTGCGAAGGAATAGTGGGGCTGACACAAAGTGATTTTAACCTGTTGTCTTTTTAGCTGAATAACTCAAAGGGTTTTCTGTGATTCTTATGACAAATGGTGTCAAGATGGCTAAACGTCTTCTTTGAAAACCTGGAAAAAAGAAACTCCATTAGTTTAGTGTTTTTTAGATATTAAACATTTTGTCGGATGAACTATTATCCCATGCTGTTACAGGATTTGGACAATTCTGCTGTTGTATCCAGTGTGTGTGTGTGTGTGTTTGTGTATGTATATATATATATATATATATATATATATATATATATATACTTAGTTGTATTGCATCTTTTATTCCCCAAAATACAGTGTATGTGTGTGTGTCTATATATACGCACCCGAAAAACTTAAAGTTCAGTTGTTACTCTTGGAAGATAAGTGTGAATTTGTAAACAATGACTATTACTACTAATATTACAAGGCTCTTCCCTGAATTGAGCTCTCTCGGTCATTGGCATGTTTATTCACAGAATGAGTACATAAAAATTCACCTTTCTTTCAACTATGCGCCAATGGCTTAGGGGGAAAATCTCCAGCTGTTGCTGAATCAATCGGGTTCAATCCGGCTTGAAGCAATTGGATCTCTAGCCACACTGGGGAGCTGTGATACAGCAAAACAGTCTCTCTGTATATGACAATATATATATATATATATATATATATATATACTATATATATATATATATATAATCACGTCGACGATGAGGGTCAGGCCGATAAGTCCCCAGGAAACCGACATCCCGACACCGCACATGAGATTTGATTATAGTGGTGAAGGCCTCGTGCAGGACCAGCCAAACTTTTTGAGGGGACGAATACAGAAACCTGGTGCACCTAATGCATGCCACAAGGTTCCCAAACGACCCTCTGCAGGTTTTGAATTCAGAGTTGTCCTTCTCCTAGACCAGTTGCCATCCAAGGCTATAGAACCCAGTCTGTCCTGCTATTTTACCCATAGCTGGAGGGAGATGAAGAGGATACATACCTTTCCCAAGGGTATTAGCACGTAAGTGAATGTAATGGATTCGACTGGAATTCGAATTCGGCTCTGCGATTCCTCAATCCAAGCCGCTATCCACTGCTCCACCGTGCCTCCTCCAATATATATATACGAATATACACTGTATTTTTGGGAATATAAGATGCATCCATCCTTATTTTGAAGGCAGTCTTGCCAGGGATCCAATGAAAATTGAAATATTGATTAGCTGATTACTGATGTTAACTGCATTAAACACTTTGATTGGTGATGTGCACATTTGAAATCGATACCATTGCTATAAATAACACATTCAAGGGAATTAAACCATTCCTATTTAAATATATGTATGCATGCCTGGTACGTATCACACACACACACACACACACACACATATATATATATGAAATAGACTATACCCACATGTGGTAATTTGGGATTTTTTTTGCTGTATAAAATATATGCTCTGTTATATTAAATAAATACATTGAGCTCTCTCTGTGAATTAGTTTTAATATCTGATATTACAAGGATCCACCTGGATTATATACCAACGGATCTATTACCTGTATTATATATATATATATATATATATATATATATATATATATATATATATATATATAAATAATAAGAAAGAAAATAAGATTTACAATCTGGTGTTCTTAGTGATTATTTTTATTTTAAAAAACAGTGCTCAATACAAAAACTGTAGAGCATAATATTATAATTATTTTCTATTTTAAAAAACACAGGAATTACCATGTTTCAAAACAGAAACTAAAATTTTATACTTGATTATAAAATTAAATTTAAAATCTATAGTTCTCTTTCATTCTCAAATGATTTTTGGAATAACTTATTAAGAAGTTTACTTCACTTATAAACACAGACAATCTTAATATTTTAAATTGTTATGGTTATGGAAAAATTCAGTCATTTTGATAAGGGATGTTTGGGTTTTAATTTCCCTAGCCAACTTATGTATCAAATATAAGTTACTTTCAAAATCAGGTTAAGATAAGGTGGGCTAGGGGTGCTTGTTCACAAACAATGGAGCTATGGATTTTAAATTTAATTTTATTTAAAATTTTAGTTTCTAATTTCTGTGTAGCGATGGGAGCATATTTTAAAATAGAAAATAATTATATATATATATATATATATATATATATATATATATATATTTATATATATATACGTGTCAATGCAGGTTTTGACATTAATATTTATACACCAAAAATATGGTATACATAATTTTTTTTTTACTTTCTTTTGAAAATAGTATTGGGAACTTACATGAATATCAAATAAGATATTTTGACTAAATTCTCTTAATTTTCTCTTTTTCAGGACTGAAGCAGATGGCAAACTTTACGTAAAATATGAAATCATTGGCCGGAACCACATTGCTGTTCCAACACATTTCTTCAAAGTTGTTCTCATTGAGACGGAGACTGGGGAGTTTGAGTTACTATCTTTCGTGTTGCCAAATGAGGCCCATCCCGAAGATGCGCAACTCAAATATTTCCTCATGAATGTTGAGCAAATCGAGAGGGCCTCAGGTCTTCTTTTCTTTGATAAATTACCCCACAATCAAATCAAAATGATCAACAAGCAAGAAACCAAAGTTCGCAGGTGGCATTGAACAGGTGTTTTTTGGGGGTTTTTTAAATTTTTTTTTTATAAACACTAGCCAAATACATGTTTATGGGGAGATAAACATAAGTTGTCATCGAAGTTCTCTTACTTCTCTAAAATTTTTGTATAAACAACATTTTCAGCAAGACATCCATTTTCTAAAGATCCTTTTATCATTATTTTAAGTCAACTTGAAATTTCTATTCTGGACATAGCTGCATAAAGCTGACTAGAAGCAAAACATTTAAATAATTTCCTTATGTTTGTTTATATATATATATATATATATATATATATATATATATATATAGTTTTAAATTATACTATATTTCTGGGATAAAGTGCTCAATATCAGAGATAGAGCGTAGGTAAATATAAAAGTGAACATTGAAGTCAACACTCAAAGGTGACAAATCAATCATCAATCACCACATGTGGCCTGACCTTTACATCTAGCATGAAACAGTCTGTTGCCTATGAGTGTTGACTTCAATGTTCACTTTTTTAAATATATATATATATATATATATATATATATATTATGAAATGGATAATGTCTGACAATTATTTAATATATTTTCTGTTGTTACGTTATTTTTATAGATACAATTTATTTAAGTAAATGCTCTGCAGAATGGTACAGCATGTCAAATCAAATGATGGTTTCCATATAGGAAGACTGGTTCAGTTCCTGTCAGAGAATGCATATTTTCTACAAAATTTCTCAAACATCCAGGCCAGTAAATGTAATTATTACTGCTTAATTTAAAAACTGAGCATTTACTTAAATAAATTGTATCTATAAAAATAGCATATAAACAGAGAATATATATATATATATATATTTTAAATAAATAGGTTTTTTTAGCCAATAAGCCCTTTAGATCTTGATCAGATTTTTATTTCCAAAGGCTGAAACGAAAAATTTTTTTTTCATTTTTGTTTCAACCTTTGGAAGTAAAGTCTGATGATCCGCAATCCTTTAAAAGGGCTGTGGTGAAATAATTTATTACATGGAACCTTAAAGTGGTCTGTTTTTATTTAAATTATTTGCTCTGGATTTACATTGAGCTCTCTGGATTTTATCCTCCTTGGGTCTACCCATACAGATTACCTAGTTTTCCATAAACTAACTAACTAACTAACTATATATATATATATATATATATATATATAATAAATTCAATGTTCAAGTAAAATTCTGTTTTTGCCCCAATAATGCACAGAAGACCTTTGTATAATGTGTGTGGGATAAAATTCAATTAATGTTCCCTTTCATCATAATTCCTATTTAAACAGTGACTCAATGAATCACACACAGGTTTATGTAGTGTGTCCAAATATGTAATGTTTAAAGTTTCAGGATATTAACAGGGAAGAATGCTCAATATTAATGATAGAGTGTATGTAAAGATAAACGGTGCAGGCAGAGAAATCAACACCGTATGGTGTTATGATAACTTAAGGAATGAAACAAGTAGTCACCATGCAGGGCTGAATTCTTTGGCCACACAATTTTCTATTCTGGACATAGCTACATAGTATTGACTAGGAGTTAAACATTTGAATAATTTTCTTATGTTTGCATTAATTAAATAATAAATAATTAATTCAGCCAACATATTTTTTTCACTTTTCATATAATCAGGTATGTTTTTAAGAAAATCTAATTAGCATATTTTGGCTTATTTAGATAATGCCATAATAAACAGTGTGGACAAAGAAATTAATACCGTATGGCCTTATGATAACTTAAGGAATGAAACAGTCACCATATAGTGTTGAGTTCTTTGTTCACATTATATATTAACTAACATGTGTTATTACTAGCCAAATACTTGTCCTGTGGGCAGAGAAAAGTAATTTCTTGTAGAAGTTCTACTTCTATAAAATTTCTGTATAAACAACATTTTCAGCAAGACATCAATTTTCTAAAGTTCTTTTTGTCCACTTGAATTTCCTACTCTGGACATAGCTACATAAAACTGACCATAAGAGAAACATTTGAATAATTTTCTTTGTATAAATAATAATATTAATAATAATTAATTCACCAAACTTATTTTATTTTCACTTGTTTAAATAATCTGGTACAATCTTAAGAAAATCTAATTAAATTTTACCTTATTTAGATAATACTGTAAAAAAAAAACATTTTTGAGCTCCACTTCTCTAATTTGTCATAATTGGGAAATGTCAGATGACAACTATGGTTATAATGAACATTGCAGGAAATAAGATTGTAACTAATGTATCCAGGCCTAAAATTTATAGAATTTTATAGATAATCTAATTTTTTTTTAATTGTATGCTTTATATTGGCTTATTAAAAAAGGAAGTTATTTTTAGAAACCAGGTTTACATTTATTTTACATTTTATTTAAATGTAAGCAGACTGTTATTTTTTCTGCTAACATACAACTGGATTTTGACATGGAAGATATAAATTCATTCTGTACAAATGTAATGATTTAAAAAACAACTTTATCAACAGAAACAGCTTATATATGGCAATTTTTAAAATTTGAATTAAATATTTCTTCTGTGTTATTTGTTTTTATTAAAATATTCTTTTAAATATCATTATACAAAGGAAATAATACTGCTTATGTTGTAAACATTATTCATTAGTAACATATAAAAAAAAGGAAAAGTGAAGTGATTGTTTAACAAAGCAAGTCATTTTGTTCTACTGATGTAAGGTGGAGGACCACACAGACATACATGAATTTATAAAAGATTATTTGAAGAATTCTTTTCTTTTTTTTTTAAATTGGACATTGATTATTTTTTTTTTTTTTACATTATATTAATTATTTTTATTTGTTATTAATGCCCTTTATCTCTCATGTTAATTTAAGTTTATGACAAATGAGAAGAAAAAAATTATAATCATTAGTAAATTGCACAAAAAAAGAAAAAATATTTTTTGCAGGCAGGGCTGGTGCATACTACCCCCAAACACCAACCATATTTTATATGAATACTACCTTATGAAAATTAAAATGTAGTAGAGTGGGAAGCCTCCTTATCATAGATTGGTGGGGGCATATTATAGATTTGTGGGTGACCATGAAATCCTTGCACTAGCCCTGGTAGCAGGCTAAGATTACCACTTAACAGTACTTTGTTAGAAATCAAACTTATTAGTCTTAGAATTTTAGGAGGCCAAATTTGACCATTTTTATTTATTCTACATTAACTCACTAAAGTGTATATCCTTCGTTAAAGCGATAAAATATTTCTTTTTATAACATATTTTAAATTGGAGATGGTAGTCTTTGTAGTGAATAAAATAAAAGGCCATAGTGCTTTCAGTTATTGGCAAAGGTATATATGTATTGCTTCAATGCACACCGTAGTTTATATCTGTGGTTCGGAGCTTAAAAAGATACTGCTCTCTCAATATAAAATGTTTTTGAATTAGAAAAGCAAGCACTATAACAAATGAAATAAGAGGCTATAGTGGTTCCATCTATCAGTAGTGGTAGGTATTGCTTCATTGCACAGTGTTATATGTATCTATGGCTAAAGGTGTTAATAATAAACAATGTGAAGTTGGTAAAGAAAAGAAAAATATTAATTTCTAAGTAACTCTTGCTCTTATCTATTGTAATTAATTATTTAATTATAATTATTAATAGTTTGCTGCTTATATATTCACCACTACTAAACCAATATTGTTCTGGCATCAATTTAACTTGATGCCTTCTTTCTTCCATATTTTGTGACCATTTTTATTTAAGTTCATATTTTCTGGATTTCAGATGAAGACTAGAAAAATTTCCAACAAGTTTCAGTAAAAATTTTCACCTTCCAAAAGCATAGTTTATAATCATAGTTTTGATATAGGGGAAAAATATGGCGTCAGTTTAAACTAACATCAGGAGGATATAGATATAAGAAATATCTATCTATCTATCTATATATATATATATATATATATATATAGAGAGAGAGAGAGAGCTGATATCCTCTGATGGAGTGGTTGTTGAAGAGACTGTTTATGAAACTCTAGAGTCAGGATGCTGAGGGTAATACCAATCAGCTAAGTGACAAATTTTATATTTGTATTGATTTTCTCTCTCTCTCTCTCTCTCTCTCTCTAATATATATATATATATATATATATATATATATATATATATATATAAAAAAATGGCTGACCACTCATATTTGAGGATACCCATCTACTAGGGCAACTAGCTAATCTATATTGCAGACATTTGCTCAGGCGCTTTTTGTGTTTGTCCAATGCCCACAGAGCCCACCTGTGGTTTATACTGCAACTATGCTGAGCAGACCTTAGTTGCAGTTTCTGGGAGAGAGTGTGTTATCTCACATGATCAACATTCTGAACAAGGCCAGCATGCTCAAACCCTTGATCATGATAACTTGTGACTTTGTGGTAGCACCGAAATTGAAAGGTGGGTTCCGTCTACCCAGTTTCAATCACAAGGCTTGGGTCAACTCCTGGTATGGTTTTCAGGCACTTTCCAAAGATGTCTCACACTAGGATCAACCTCCCCCCCACTCCAGACTGATGACATCAGGAAGTCACCTTCCTGACAAATCAACCATGGTGAGATTTGAACCCGGGTCTCATGGTCAGAAAGCAGTGTTCTAACCACTCGGTCACGTGCCATATATATATATATATATATATATATATATATGTATATATATATGTATATGTATATATTTATGTATAAGAAGCAACTCTTAATGTAGTCTGCTACAATACAAAAGCATACCAGAGAAAGAGGTATTTAGGAAAATGGGCACTTTATACCTCCTCGGCAAATTCAAGATGTTACAAGGTTAGTTGATGTGTATATACCAGACACGTACCAACCAAACTCACTGAGAAAGTGCTTTTTCTCGGTATGCCTTTGAACTTTATCAGGTGTTTTTTTTTTTTTTTTGTGATTTCACATAATTTCCATATTGGCCATCTTCAAAATACATACAGTTGTATGAAAAGGTGAGAAAATTGTTGATATGTGATTTTTTTTTAGTTGCCATTAGTGATGGAAGCAATTTGCTGTAATGGTGTTATTGGTAAAACAGGGAGTTGATAGTATGTTGGGTTGGTTGACTGAGGTCCCGGTTGGTGTCAGGAGAGAGGCCTAGAGTGGATTAGTGAAGCTGGGTAGTAATGTAATGTATGTGTCATTGGCAGGGTTGATCCGTCTTCAGGTTTGAAATTGACACAAGCCAGTGGATGGGTCAGCAGTCATGTGGTGAGGTTGAACCAGACTACCTGTTTTTGGCAAGACATGCTATTTTTATACCTGTGGTTTAATGGGCGCAATCTCTCCCAGGCTTATCACCCGTTTTTTTTTTTTTTTGTGATTAGCTGTTTTATTTTACATTTTTGTGGGGATTTGTTTTGTGAACCAGGTAGGATGCTTGAAGCCCCTTTGCAGAAGATGAGTTTTGCATTGCTCACATTCTGGCTGACATGTCTCATGAAATGTATTTGTGAATCAGAAAGAAATCTTGATTAAAGTAGTATGACAGATTCAAAGATATACAATCCTAATTATTTTGCAGAATTTAATGATTGGACATGGTATTAATAACTACTAATTAACTAGATTACTTATACCATCAAAAGGCATAGGGCCATTGTCATGTTGAAACACCGGTTTCCGTAAGATCACCGAGGTTAAGCAATGTCGATCCTGGTCAGTACCTAGATGGGTGACCACTTGGGAATACCAGGTGCTGTAAATTTGGATGTGCAGGTGGTGTAATGGATAACAGCTCGGAATTGGAAAATGGAGAGCCTAGTTCCAATTCCAGTTGAGTTTGTTATATTCACTTACACACAAATACCCTTGGGGAAAAGTATGAATCTACTTCTTTTCCCCCCAGCTGTGGGTTAATTAGTAGCACTTGTATCAGTAAAATCATTATTATCTCCAAAAAAAATTATTACAATCTAAAAATATTTTCTGACTTTAAATAACCTGCAAAAGGTTGATAAGCCATAAAAAACAAATCGATCAATCATACCTTCAAAAAATGATGGCCTTATTTGATTTATTGCATTGGTTATATCTTCTGCATAAGTAATCTATGTTTTTTATCTATATAGTTAACTCTGTTGCTACACATAAGAAAGAATTTTAATTTATTATAGATAAGAATATCCAAAGAAAGTTAACATGACCCATACCTTAAAAAAAAATATCAGCCATATTTAAGTAATTTCGCTATTGTTTTAGTTACATTTTCTGTATGGATAATCTGGAGTTTTGATTAATACGATTAACTTTATTGTCACATGGAAGAAAGAATTTTTATTTTTAAATCATTAAAAGTAATAATATCTAAAGAAAGTTAATCCAAAACAAGTAAAATGTAATGTATTGGCAGTGTTATTTCTCCTACTTAATAATTAGGTGTTCTGTTGTTATACTAATGTGACCCATGTTTGCTTGTTGGAGGGAAGTTATATCAATAACAATGGAACAACTCATTATTAACAAGGTGAGATCAAACTTTGTGATTAATATATATATATATATATTTATATATAAATCACATTGTTTTATATAAGAGAATAGATAATGAAAGTAAGAAAGTTTTGGCAATGTTTAATCTTCCTGCCATAAAAAATTATATTACTGTCTTCACTTTTGACTCCCTAAGAAATGTTTTATTTATAAGAATATAGAATATGTGAACCAAAAAATATATATATATATATATATATATATATATATATATATATATATATATATATATATATATATATATATATAAAGTGTGTGTGTGGTTAAAGATGACTGACAAGGTACTTTATTAAGCTTTTTATTTAATTTTTCTTGTGTTCACACAAGTGTTTTTCTGGACACAAAATGTGTAAAAACTGTTCAAATGTTCTGCATTTCTGTGAAACAGAAGATGCAACAGGGGATGGGGTTATTGAGTGTGAAAGAATATGAGAAAAGAAAAGCATTATTGAGAGAGAGAGAGAGAGGAGACAATAAAAGAGCAGGAATTAAGGAAACAGAAGATAAAGATTGATTTTGCACTTAAATTTTTAAAGATCTAAGTTTATTGGGAAGTAAGAAGCTGGAATAAAGTTCCACAAGTTAGAAATGTGAGGAGGAATTGTTAGAACAATATATATAATATATATATATATATATATATATATATATATATATATAAATAATGCTCATTGAGTGCTGGTGTTAATAAAATAGTGCTTGATGTAATATGACAGAGCTATTAAGTATATATTAATAAATATACATATTATTTCTCACCATTCAAACAAGATTTAAAAAAAAAGAAAGAGCAGTAATGCCCGTTAATAAAATATAAATCCTGTCTATTTTTAATAATATTTTTTTTATAGTTTTAGCTCTGTTTATTTTAATACATATTTATCTTAAAAATACTATTAATCCCTGTTTATTTTAAATATAAAATAAAACCATTAATCTCTGTTTATTTTAAATATAAATCCCATCTTTTTTAAATACCAGTAATCCCTGTGTAATATATGGACTGTGCCATTGCATTAACCAGCTATTTTTATTAAAATTATGTAATGGTCTTCAGCATCTGAAGATTGTGTAGTATATGAAACTCTGAGTCAAGCTACCAGGGAGCAATAATATGTATATTTATTTATTTATATAAAAAATATATATAAATATACATATTTTTCCTCACCAGTAGCACAACTCTGAATTTCATGCACAACACAATCTTCAGATGCTGAGTTAAAACTTGAGGGGAAATTACTTTCTCCATTTTTTTTTTTTTTTTAAATAGAAGTCTTGAAAAGATCTTCTGCACTCAAGATAGCGTCACATTCTTCTTGAAAATATTAAATTGAATTTTCTATGCAGTTTAAGGAAATTACACACACTTTTTTTATTTTAGTTATTTATTTTTTTAGTTAAAATTAGAGGTCTTGAAAAAATATTCTGCCTTTTAAACAATCTTCAAGTCCTGAGTTTACACTTAACTCAGCATCTGAAGATTGCATTGGGCATGAAACCCTGAGTTATGTTACTGATGAGAAAAAATATGTATATTTATTAATATATATAATATATATATATATTAACTGAATACTATTATTCACCTTTTGAAATTCATGAATGAATTGAAATTATCATGGTATTTGGTAGTAGTCCAGCTCATTGAAAAAAATTAGTCCATGTTCTTAGAAATATTGCCCTTGTTATTTTAATGCTGTTGTTTATCACAAAAACAAATTTGTTTATTGAAATCTGTGTCACATGGTTCACTGCTAAAGACTATAATCTTCTTTAAATAACAGATGGACTTTGACTTGCATTTTAAATCTGTCCATGTTTTCATCTTCATTGAAGTTTCATGCTTGAATTATAGAATAATACAATACTTAGATGTTGACCCATTTTTTTTTTTTATTAAAACGTATTCATCACCACCAAAAGATCTTCTGCCCTTTGGACAACTTCAGTCTACTCATGAAAAGACTACATTTAATTTTACTTGTAGTTTTCTTCTTTTTTTTTTTTTTTTTTTTGACTTGAATATACAATATTGAATTTTACATTTTAAGGGAAATTACACCTACTTTTTTTTTCTTTTTTGGTTAAAATTAAGGAGCTGCCCCATGGATAACATCAGACTATTCTAGAAAATACTAAAGTGAATTATTTTACATTTTATGGGGAAATTACACTATTCGTTTTAGAAAATTCTTTTAGGAGTTTTGAAAAGGTCTTCTGTCCTCTAGATAGCTTTTGACTCTTCTTGAGAATATTAATTTGAATTTTCTAAGCAGTTTAAGGGAAATTACAAACACTTTTTTTATTTATTTATTTTTTTTTTTTGGTTAAAATTAGGGGTCTTGAAAAGATATTCTACCTTTTTAAATAACTTCAGAATATTCTTGATAATACTACATTGAATTTTTGGCAATCTTGGACTTTTGTCCCCACAAGAAAACTGCATGTCAAAAATAAGAGTTTTTCCTTTGACACCGCTTTTATTTTAACTACCTTCACTCTTTGGTAATGTTTACTGTTTGAAAAAAAGAGATGATTAGATATTCTTGATAGTCAATTTTTTTTCTTTTTTTTTTTTCTCAAGATTGTGAACTTTTCTATGCAGTTTAAAGGAAATTATTCCGCTGTTTATTTATTTATTTTTTTTTGTTTATTTAAGTTAAAATTAGGGGGTTTGAAAATGACAAGAAATTGAATCTCACATAAGTTGTTTTCTGCATTAACACTTGTGTGCATATATTCCTGTAAATGCATATTTACAAATATAAATACACTTCAACATACTTACACACATATATAAACAAATATACACTTATATAAATCCATTCTTGTGCACATACACACACAAGTATGTGTGTGTTCATTTGTTTGTCACCAATAATTTGAACTGCCTCTAAAATTTAATCTTACTAATGTGACCCTGTACTAATTCTTTGTCTGTGACTAATATACTGGATATTATGAACCAAATTACGACAATGAAGAAATTGTGCATGGATTTTTTATTATCTGTTTATTTTATTTTTTATTTTTTATTTTTGTGGGTCAGAAGAATCATTTTGTTAATATTCACACAGCAAGTGAATTAAAATCTGTTTTTGGAAAAAAAAAAAAAAGAAGGAAAAAAAAGAAGGAAAAAAACAGATCCAGTTTTACATTTCAATTTAAGGTTGTTAAATAAGAAGCTAAATGTTTTATATGCAGTAATTTTATTTGTACAGAACCTGAGAAAGGTTCTCTTGTAATATGTTGATTTCTAAGGACATTCTTACAAAATGAATTTATCCCGAAGATCAACTTAATTCTCCAAAGCATTTTTGATAAAATAAGGAAAGATTAGTACAGAAATTCTTTTGCAAATTTACAAACAAGTAAACACTAATGAATAGAACTTTGAATTATTAAGTTTAATTTAATGACAAATTTGTTTATCATATTTATTGACTGCAATTTTATTTATTTTTTTTTTTCACATTTATTAGTTTTTTTTTTCACATTTATAGACAGAACTTTTTTTCACTTCATAGGCTGCATTCTTTCACATAAACTTAATTTTTTACATTTGTAGACTGCATTTCTTTTATATTTACAGGTTGCATTTTCTTTTTTTACATAAACTGTATTTTCTTTTTTTACTTTGGTTCTAATTTTTCTTATTTACAAACTGTATTTTGTGATATTTATAAGCAGACTTCTTTTTTGCATTTATAAGCTGTACTTTTTTAAATGGGTTTTGATCTTTCACATTTAGACGTTGTGCTTTTTTAAACATTTATCAAATGGATTTTTTAACATGGGCTCTGTTTTTATTATTTTTCCATATAGCCCTTTTTTCCACATTGATGGATTGTAATTATTTTATATGGGCTGTTGTTTTTTTTTCTTTTTACAATTATGGGCTGTTTTCTAACTTTTTTTTACAAATTTGGGATTGATTGTTTTTTTTTCTTTCTTAAAGTTTGACTGCCAAGCTGACCAACTTTATGAGAAAAATAATTTTGCTACACTTTCAAAGAAACAAAAGAAAACAAAAATAATGTTTTTATTTGTAGCCCTTTTATTCCCTTTTATCCCATTTTATCACATCCAAATATTAAGTGCTGAATCATGGAGAACAGCTTTTTTTTAAAAAAAATTATTTTCTATTCACTATTTACAACAACTTTTTTTAAAAATTATTTTGAAAAAATAAATTTGAATTTTCTTCAG